ACTCCCTTGAGAGAAACCCCTGCCTCATTATGCCCTCCATCATGCCAAACAAGCCCTGGAATATTGGGATCACTGGGCTAAGGATGGCCGTCTCCCCACTGAGGACTTTTCTGCAGTTGCAAAAAGCTTTTTCTTGCACCCCTCCAAACTCCTCCAGGGTAGCCTGAAACATATTCTTGAGCTGTGGGTCTGAAATTGCCACCTCACACCTCTTGTTATTTGTCCATCTACCTCCCTTCTTCACTGGGACCTCTACACTCTGATGACTCTTACCCTACACAATAAGGAAGCATTTTGCCCCCACTGTACCCACTTCATTTTCCAGCAACAATCCTCTCAGCTGAGCCTTTGGGTGGCTGAGCATGCTGCTGTTGGAGAGGTGGTCCAAGTCCTGCCAACACTTGAGCACCTTCTTGCATTGCATACAATTAGCCATGTGAACATCCGTTGAAAATTCTTCCAGATTATTCACTCCTTGATAGCTCCAGTTTTTGACTGTATGTTCCTAACAGGGATTGTCATCACTCCTGGTTCCAGCAACTGGGGGGTTAAGGGAGATGGAGGAGCAGGGCTGATTTCAGTGTCACCTGCTTCTAAAACAGTGCCTGAGTTCCCCAATCTCCACATCAGATTCCACATTGGATGTGTACATGCACTTGAAGGGGAGTTTATACCCACCATATGGCTGCTTTGCACATGAGAGATTTTCTGGAAATGGGGGTTGGGGTAGTAAACTCTTCCTTGAATATGGTAGAGCTGCATGGTATGGATGTGGAAGGCACTGCCTGGTGCTCTTCATCAATCGCTTTCCCAAAAGAAGCAGCATTGCTGCTCCCCAAGCTGAAAGTGTCCATTTGAGTACTGAAGCCATCCTTGTCCATCTCTGCCACATTGCTTGGTTCTGTGAGAGGAAATTGCCTTCTTCACCCTCTTTTTTGCCGCTTGTCCTGGCTGGATTGCCCAAAGACATCACTCGTATCTCTCCCAACTTGAATCAGAGGCCTCTCTGCCACCTCCTTGGCAAAGACACACATATACTGTAACGCTGTCTGCTGCTCTTTCATTGTGTCAGTGCTGAACAAGGGTGACAATCCAATCTGGATTTGGATATATTTGGAACTACCTGAATATGACATTATTTGGTGAATTCTGAATATTTCCGGATCCAAATACATATCTCTAATCAGCAACAATTAGGGGAAAAAACAGTGCTTAGCATTTCTCCCTGCTGTTGCTCTAGGAGGTTCCTCAATCTCTAAGCAGATCCCAGAAGGTTTTCCCACCAGGGCAAAATGTTAAAACTTGCTGGGATTGAAACAACAACAACACCCTGCCAAGTATTTGTTATATTTGTTACATAATATAATAGCATATTAAAATCTTCGAACTGCAGAGCTGGAAAGGACCTTATGGATCATCGAGTCCATTCCCTGTCAAGGAGGCACAAGTGGGGAGCTCAACTCCCAACCTCTGTCTCTACGGCCAGGGACCTAAACCTCTGAGCTATTTTTAATCCACACAGTGAGCTTCTGAGGTAAGCAAGCATTCAAAGCTCCAATACTACCATGGCAGCTGCTGCGCCATACTGGTTCTTCAAAGAACCATGTCATAATTTCCCCCCCTAAAACCAAGTGGAGTCTATAATAAAACATTGCAGTGTGAAGCCCGAAAAACCCACAACAACCATCTCCCATTCAGGTTTAGAGTTTCAGACAATTGTGCCCTTTTTGGGCACACTAGTTCATTTTTTTTTAATCTCTTGGTTTTCCATTTTCTTTCCTCCCAACTATCAGCTAGAATTCTATGCACACTGCATATGTTCAATCTACCTCAATAGGATATTCCAGGAGGTGCTAGATGTTCCCCTGATTGTCCCTCTACAGACCTCATGGTTCTCCACTGACAGCTGCTTCCTGTATGTGGTCAGTGCTGTGTTGACCACCTAGCAGCTCACACGCACAGGACACTCAGTATATAAAACAATTATATCCTGTTTTGAACAGAAACCAGAACTATGATACCCTGGTGTAATGTGGAAGAAAGAAAGAGAAGGAACGTCTCCGTTTTATCCTGATTTGGGTGCCAGAACCAACCCTTATGCCCCACATGGCACTGACTCACCATTCATAGCCAGACTCGTCTTGTGCTAAAGTGGAATAGGAAGATTGTTTTCTGCTTTCTCTTTCCCCTAGACAGGAGATTATCTCAACTTCCATTAATTCCCTCACCAGTTCACCTTTCCTGACTGTTATTAAAATACTGCATGCACCAGTTGCCAAGAATCTAACAGCTGGAAAAAGAGGCATGCAGCAGCTGTCAGAGAGTCTAACACGCTGAAAAAAATTAGCACTGAAAGCAACAGCTTTTAGAGTTGATACTACAGCCATATATATATCTACAGCCAGATAGTGTCAAATTCATGTATTATCTTCCCAGGCTTTAAGAAGCAAGGAGAAAGGGTCAGTAAAATAAAAATATTGCAAACACCCACCCACAGTGGTTTAAGTTACTTCTCTATTTTTTCTCCTTCCTTGCCTCTTCCTCTCTCCACCCCTCTTCACTCTCCATTTTCCCCTTGGCATTTGGCCTGAAGATTTAGGCATCATTTGAATGGAAAGCCATTAGCTCTGCCTCGTCACCCCATTTCCAGGGCACTAATAATTCATTCCATGCTCCCTCTCTTGCATGCTGCCTGTCGGCTCTAATAGCTTGATAGATCAGGCAGTTTGGCTTGCTCCTCGGTGAGCTGATTCGAGCACGAAGTTTTAATAATTAGCCACATAAATACAAGTCCACATAACAAGCACGTGTGAGTTTTCTCCACGGATAAGCTAATGCTGGAACAGAGGGGCCTTAAATGTTAGGAATGCAAGCGAAGTGTTCTATGGATAGACTTGTTTCTTGGTATAGAAGGAATATTACCTACTACTATGGTGGAATGTTGCAGGTCTATGTGAGCCAACAGGATAAAGTGCTGCAAAAACAATTCTTGGTATAGAAGGAATATTACCTACTAATATGGTGGAATGTTGCAGGTCTATGTCTTAGTCAGAGAGAGCACTAGCAACACAGGGCACCCAATGCATGCTTTTGCAACTAGGATGTGTCCACAGAGCAGATCTCCATGCTATCAGGTCGTGCTAATCTGGAGATGAAGAGAAGGCATAGGAGGATTCCCCTGAAGAAGGGGATCACCAATGCTTGACAAGTACCAAGTTGTGAGTTCAGTCAACAGCATTTCTCAGTAAAGGATCTTAGGTACCAGATACCTTAGGTACCAAAGATCTCTCTGGAGATTTGTTAGCAAGAGAGAGTAGTCGGTCAAATCAGTGGCCTGACTGTGTATAAAATACCTCCATAGTTTTGTAACAATATGCTATTTCCTCAGCTTCGATGGAAGAAAGCCTGGCATGTATTCTGCCGGGGTTCCCCAAGGCTGCCTGATATTTTCCCAAAGTCAAGGCATACAACACTCAAGGCCAGTCAAGTCAATCTGGCAACGAAGGCAGAAACTTCCACAAGCCATTCTCCTTGTTGCTGGCACTAAAATTGCAAACTTATTGGTTGGAATCCTGTCGCACAACTTTACATCATGCAACTTGGACAAGGTCATCATGGATGTTGAGGGATGGATTCCAGGGATCTAAAGGGACCCGCTTTGTCCTGGAAAAGGCTTTGGGAGCCATAGAACATGGGAAATACTTGAAAACATGAAAACGGGATACTTTTCCTGCTGCTGCAACCATTGACAGTGATATTTCTGCATTTAACAACAACAGCAAAAACAATTGTGGAACTGCAGAGCAGGAAGGCACCCTATGGATCATCGAGTCCAGCTCCTGTCAGGGAAGCACAGTGGGGGAATCTTAATCCCAACTTCTGGCTCCGTAGCCAGAAGCCTAAACCACTCAGCTATCCAGCAGTTACAAGATTCCTTCCCTGCACGCCACCTCAGCAGTTCCCAATGGCTTCCCCAGGATGAGATGGAACCAAAAGACTCCACAGAATCTGGGGAGGGGGCAGAGAATCTCAGTTCCCCCTAAATGGCCATGATTGGTGACATCATCAAAGTTGCCTGCTATAAAGTTGTGCAACAGGTTTCTCGCCAATACATTAAATAACAAACCATTTCCTGGTCTTTTCATTACACCCAAAATCTGCTACCTGAGGGGCAGCCACCTCATTCTGCCTAATGATAGGATCCACCTTGGTACCAGACTGACCCTCCCTGGTGGTGGGGACCACCAAGAATGGAGAGTGGTACAGTATCAGAATTATAGATCCTATTGGCTGAATGATTCAGAATGCGTTTTTAATGTCAGATGTTAAAACATCTCCAAAGAGGAGATATTTGTCAGCAATAAAACTTTGTTATGTTCTTCCAAAGGGACAAATTTTTAAAGACTCATAATTTTCTCTTATCCTCTCTGAGTCATCTTCTTTGTGCTCTGTACAAGCAGACCCAAGGACTCCTTCTTGTAAACAGCTACGTAGGCTCTTCACAAGATGGCAGGGAAGCCTTTTGAAGTGGGTTACTACTGCCCAGAGCAGACTTTCTGCTGAATGCAATTGCTAAACTAACACTGGATTAAATGTCCACTTGACCCTACCCCTGATGCAAGAGGCTCAGATGCAGGTCACAGATTGTGTTCTTTGCCCCCACAAAATGAAAAATGGCAGATTAGATAGACGCAAGGGCCTCTAAGAAAGAAAAGCATGCATACATGTTGGATACGGGACTGGATCCAAACTTTGCTCCGAGGAGTTCACTGGAGGTGCAGAAGAAGGATGGGGGGCAGAAATGTTCTCTGATTCTTTGTTTCCTTTTAGCCTCCAATGCCTTCTCCTATGGTATTCTACGCTGCTGGGAGTGGAAAGGAGTAACAGAGAAAATGACTGCCCTGATCCTGTCCTCCAATGACAGGTGAATTCAAGGTGTCTTTCCATTGGTGGAAGGTCAAGACTGGAGCCATACGTGGTGCATTTCTTAATTTTCTTACCTGTGTATTAATTCGGATGGCCCCAATGGAGGGAATTTCAAAGTAATAACCTTAAAAGAAGAAGAAAAAGAAATGATACAATGGACTTCAGAAATGCACTCCGGCACAACACTTTTTATTCCCTTTCTTTGCTTGCTTGTTAATCTAGCCACGTTCAATGCAACATATGCAGTCCAAAGTACTCCCTTTTCCATCTCTGATAAAAGCATGTTTGCTCCCACAGTAACTACTGAAAATAATTAGTAAGGGGTTGTGTCACTGTTTTTATTAACTTCACCTGGAAGCAGCAGCGTGTCCTAGGATATCAAATTGTTTAAACTATGTTAGAGTTTCAGGCTGCATGTGAAAACAACAAGGCATGGCAAACACTATAGAAGAGACCCAACTGGCTCCAATTTCAGAGGTTTTGTGAACCCACTCTAGGTTTTAGTTTGCCATTCATAGGAGCTACCAAATTCCAACCCAAAATAAGATCAGAACTTGGATAACTCAAGTAAAATGCAGATTAAAAGCCAGAGTGTATTGACAGCAACCCTAGAACTGGCGTCACTAAAACTGGAGAGTCCCACCACCACTGTTCCCTGGCACTTTACTGCAGCCCCCAGTGATTCTTTTACAGCTCCTCTGAAGCCAATGAGTCATTCACAACAGCATTGTTAGAAAGGGAGGGAGGGAGGGAGGGAGAGGCAGAAAGAGGTAGAGAATGTTGCAAGATCTCCTAACAATTGGTACCCAACAAGGAGTTTTTCCTTAAGGAGGGCAAGGGTGAGATTATCAGCTGGTCTCTCTCTCTGAGCTGAAGGCATTTGCAAAAGACTTAGCCAGAGGCCTGGTTTCTCTTGCAAGCCCAAAGGGAATGCAGACGAGACAGGCTGCAGGTGCTGAGCCTGTGGAAGCTGCTCTGCAGCTGCTGCCGCCTAGAATGACAGCTATAACCGTCCACTCACTTTCCAAGGGGAGGGCTGCAGGATGGAAAGGACAGGAGGTAGGCTAGAGAGCAAGAATAATAATAACCACAGCCCATTTAGCATCCAAGGCTCTCAAAACAACGTCTCTTGCTCTGTCCCCTCCCATCTGTGGCATCCATCCATCAAGCACATTAGTTGACTACTCTGCCCAGCGCAACTATTAGCCACCTATAACATCTGTGAACCTAGCGGTCCACAGTGCTATTCATCTCTCTGCAGCATCTGCCTATTTAGTTACCCTTCCTGTTTAGTAGTCCTCATGCAAACTCCATAGTTAAATTTGACATTTTCCTCTGTCTCTCTCCAGCCTCTCTGCCGTTATAGCAAATTCATAAGCAATACATGGTGTGCCATTATGACCATTCAGCTTTGTGCACAGAGGAACTGAAGTGTTTACTTCTGTCAATGGCCAAATGATATTTGATTTAGTAAGATGTGGCAATTTCTTGGGCACAATTTCTGTTCAGGCAGCAGAGCTAATTAGTGCTCTGAGAAAAGCAGGGCTACTCAGCAAATCTTAAGATATTACAACCTTCAGATAGACATGTGGTTGTAGGCAGTTCAAAGCAACCTATGACCCAACTTCCATTGTATTAACAGGGCTAGAGAAAGGATGTACTTAGCCTGCCAGTCCAGGCATGCTAAGGGCTTTTATTACATATTGCCCGCAAGCAAAAACTAAAGCCTTCTCTTGATTCAAACATAAATATACTTCTGACTGGGTCAAGGTATGCATCTGTGCCCCTCCCTCCAGTCTCTGAATCTCTACAATTCTGACTCCTATAGGATACTAATTCAGCACTGGCAGTACGTTCAGTTTTGAACAGACAAGAACTTGCTCTAGAAGAGATGGAAAAAACAAGGATGGGTGAGTGAGTGGAGCTAGCAGTAAGTGGAGAAGAAGAGGAGTGTAGGCATCAGAGGAGTGGATGGAAGTAGGTGAGACAACAGAACAAGGGTGGGTTCCATACGCAGGTGTGCTTTGTTGGTTACAAGGAAGAGTGTGAAAGCCACCTAATCACAGCAGAACCCTTGCAACATCTCATACAGGACAGGGCAATTTGATTATAAGAATGGGTTCCACAGCACCATCCGACCAAAGCTCAGTTACATACAGCTTCAGCATGTCATTAAGCCCTTTTACTATTTTCATCCAAGGATGGTTGATTCCCAGTGCTATTTTGAGTGTTTTAACAAGAGCAACTAGCTACTCATTTGACTCTTCTAAGGTGGCTGAAGGCAAGCCGGACATTTGCAGAGAGCATAGAAGAATTAGCTTGTGCATCTGAAGCAGTCCGAGAGGGTCTGAGACACTGTATGATGTTGCTGCTTCTGTGGTACTACTGCTACTCTTTTCTCAGGTAGCTATTATGTGTTGTCAAGTTGCTTTTGACTTAGGGGGAATCTAATAGGATTTTCAAGGTAAGTGAGAAGTTCAAGGGAACGTTTATCATTGCTCCTTGAAGCCAAGTCTCCTTTACCCACAATACTCTATTGGTTCTCACTTTTCAAACCAGTGCTATCCACACAGATGCAGGCCCTCTCTTTCTTTGGTTAAGCTGTTAATATGCAAAGAAGGTAAGTTTATAGAAATTCCATTAGTCTTGATTATTTCCTCCTCACATAAAATTACTCTGAAACTTCTTAATGTCAAGGGAAGTGAAAGGTTGACTACATGGGCATTTAACCCACTGTTTGATCCACGGCAGGGACAGGGTGGTTTGCTCGTTTTTCTGACAGTCACATAATTGCTGAAGTGAACTAGGCAAGGAAGGTTCTCCCTTTCATTTCCTTTCATTTCCTTAAAGTTTGGGTTGAGAACCTGCCCACAGCTGAATCCACTGGTGTGCCGCCCTCCAAAGCAGAGGTAGTGTTTAACTTCCCGATCTCATGAAATGCCTGTCTTCTTACGTCACTTCATGATATGAGAAACTGAAAGAGGAAAGAGGCAGACCAAATAGAGTTGCTTGAGGTGTGTATGCTATTTGGGTGCAAGGATTGCACCAAATAGCATACTGGACTTCTACTGACCTAAAGGGACGTGGTGGCGCCGCGGGCTAAACCGCAGAAGCCTGTGCTGCAGGGTCAGAAGACCAAGCAGTCGTAAGATCGAATCCATGCGATGGAGTGAGCGCCCGTCGTTTGTCCCAGCTCCTGCCAACCTAGCGGTTCGAAAGCATGCAAATGCAAGTAGATAAATAGGTACCGCGTTGGTGGGAAGGTAACAGCGTTCCATGTCTAAGTTGCACTGGCCACGTGACCACGGAAAATTGTCTTCGGACAAAACGCTGGCTCTATGGCTCTGAAACGGGGATGAGTACCGCCCCCTACAGTCGAACACGACTGGACAAAAATTGTCAAGGGGAACCTTCACCTTCACCTTTGGCAAAAAGAAACATCTGTCTCACTGTTATAATTTCTGCTCACTTCTTCTTAACCAGGACATCAATCAGTTATGGTAACTCAGCAAAGGAGCTATGCATGCCCTGACCTCACATTGTTAATCAATTTACCCTTCTTATTCCAGTTGAGAAATCTATGGTAAGCAGCCATATCTAGCAGTAAGAATGCCCCTCACTTCTCTTTGTTTCAGACACTCCTGCTGTTTTCTGTAAAAGTCCTTTCCTCCTGTGATGCCACTCCAGTTCGCTGAATGTCTGATGTCAGAAACAGAGGCCTGGGAGGATGCACAAACGCACCAGCATACAAGCACATCAGTTGAGAGTGACAGCCATAGTTGTACCAGAAATGCATCCAGAATGCTTGTTGATGGAAAAGTAGCTACAGTATTTGGGGGGTGGGGGTAGGAAGGAAGGAAGGAAGGAAAGGCTCTCCTGCTCTTCCTCTTTATGCCATTGGAACAAAGGGCAGAAGGGGAGAGAACAGAACCTTGACAGAAAGGGACAGGAAGCTAGGGATTCATTTCCAAAAAGTCACTGGAAAAATGAAGAGAAGTGACCATTGGTCATGTAATTGTTAGAGTTTAAAATAGCAAAACCCCAAACAACTAGAATTTGCTGTCCTAAAGAGTCACCAAAATCGATCTTTTTAAAGGAACTTTCAAAGGCACACTAATATTATCTGTAAATTTGCTGTCCTAAAGAGTCACCAAAATCAATCTTTTTAAAGCAACTTTCTTCATTATAAATAATGAAGACTTTCTTTAGAAAGGAAAAAAAACCATCTTCTGGAAAACAGTATTTCTCAGTAGTGATGAGCAGCATCTGAGAAAGCAAATGAGCACCGACAACTGAGGGAGGGCAGGTAAGGAGGAGGAAAAGTGGGTGGAAGGGGGTAACGGTGGAGCATACCGTCCTCCCCTTTTCCCAACAGCTCTGCTAAGAATCAACAGCTCCCATGGCTACTTTCCACTGAAATAATCATTAAAAATATTACATAGGGCTCTTAGGGCTTAATCACACATGTTTGCATGCAGCGCTTCATATAGCCATCACAGGATGTATTCTATCAAATCCCACTTCATTTAAAACGAAGATGCTGGCGCTTGTGTCTTCGGGGAAATCAACGTCCCTAATCCAGCATACCTCCCAGCTAATGCCAGGTGGGCGTAGATGGGTTTGTTTAGCAGCACTCAGTGATGAGGATGTTTCACACATAGATTCAAGGGGGAGATTTTCCAGAAGGCAGGCATGTAGGTTTGCGGTGCAGCCAAAACCAAGAGTCCAGTGGCACCTTAACAGCCTAACAAACTAATTGCGGCAAAACCTTTCATGTTCAAGGACTGTCATTCTTATTACTCCACATGTCCCAGAGCTGAGCCCTCACACAGATGACAGGTTCTGGGGCTAAACCCTGGTGAGTCCTGGCTCTGTACAGATTAATTAATCAAATTAAGAGGTGAGGCAGCAGGAAGTAGTCATGCCTCTGGTGTAGGGATCTTCAGGCTCGATTTAAAGAAAAAGCACATGCCAAAAAGTAGATTCTGACAACTGCTTT